CCAGACGGCAACCATTCATCTGACAAATCTGGATCAGGTTAGCTAAAATGATCCGAGTCGGAACAGTCTGCTGGAATCGCTGTCTCTGGCTCAGATGAAACATGTTGCGGTCCACGCCTTTCGCCTCCGCTTGGCCCGGGTTGGTTGTCGTCTTTTCTTTCGACAGGAACACGACGCAAAGTTTTGCTACCGCGAAACAGACTTTGTTGAAGTGTGAGCTGCATAAGATTATCCGCTTTGCGTCTCGCCTTAGGCATAGTGGCTTCCCAAAACCAGCTCCTATTTCATGGATCGGCTTCTTCCTGATCACGTGACACGTCACTGACGCACACACAGGTGAAGATCATTTTTAGATGATTGGTGTTTACTGTCAGGGTGTGCGAGCTTGCTCCCTACCACCTCCCGTTAAAAAACGTAATATACGACTAAAATCGTCATTGGCAGTGAACGATTGTATTTAAAATGACGACTTTAGTCGTCAATGGCAGTGAATGAGTTAATCAGCTGATGGGCACCAGCTGCCCTGTAGGGTGCAGCAGCAGGCCAAAGGATTCCAGATAATGGCTCCCTCTGGTGGGGGAATTTGGCTGGATCATGGAGTTCACCTCACAGGATGAACAGAGGTATAAACTCATCAGCCCAAATACAGGGGGCTGTAACATGAGTGTGAATTAATCTCATCATAATTTTTAAAAAATATATGGTGAGCCATAATAATTTTTGTCAGGCGTATTTTTTCGTTTCTCTGAGCAGAGACTGTCTAAACGTCATGGTAGAAAATGGTTTGCATTTTGCAAAAAATCATGTTGATGAGTTTATTTTAATTATTCCAACAAGAAGAATATAAATGCCAGAGCAGGTCACTACAAGCCCCACAGACGGGACGGGGGGCATTGTAGTTGTAACCTTTTTCCACACCCCGAGTTTGCAGGTAAGATACCACCAGCGTCATTAGCAGTCTTACTGTATTTACGCTTATCCTTAGCCAGCAGTTTCAGGTAGGATTTAATGTCGCCCGCTCTGGCCCCAGGTAAACATTTGACTATGGTTGCTGGAGTCTCTAATGCCACGTTTCTGACTATGGAGCTGCCAATTACCAGAGTTGGGTTGTCAATGGGTGCGTCACTGAGTGACCCCAGCAGGGTGTAAAAAAAATCCGGTCACAATCTATTTTTATCTGTCAATGTTTACTGCAGTTACGTTAATCACTTCAGACAAAAAGTTGGGTTGGGCATCGTTTGAATTTGAACGATTCCCCTGTTTCAGTTCCAGTTCCTAACGATTCCTGATTCTTTCAAGGTCAAAAACATTACATTTTTCAAATGAGCCAACTAACCACAGGTCCTACTTGAACTTTAATTCTATGAACTGTAGTGATCTGTATTTTGTATATTTATACACTGTAATTAGATCTAAATATAATCAGAAGTGGTTGTTTTTATCATCAGGGAGTTTACTTAAACACCTTGTATTGACTGAGAGACAAGAAAAGAGAGAGTTGGGATCGTTTAAGAATCTTTAATTTCTATAATTATAAATTCTTACAATCTACCAGGACTAACTCTGTGATGGATGTATATGGATTTGGATGTTTCGTGTTGGTGTGTGTGTGTGTGTCAGAATCTCTAGGCTGACGTAGCGAATCTGGTTGTTATGACTAGGAACCACGAGGCTTCAGAAGCTGATGACATGAGCAGCCATTTTGCCGTAACCACGTACCATGTGGAGCCTCCCGTCTTGATCAGGAATTGCCAGGTCCTCGGACCTTCAGGTGTACTGGAGCTGGTGAAACAGCGGTCGCAGCACTACAAAGCCCGTCTGCGGGTCGACTCCGGTAGCAGCGGCAGGCGTCAGCGAGTTCACTCTTATTTTGAAGGGACGTCGTCTTGTTGTTCAAACGACAGAAATCTCCAGCTTGACAGTTCTCAGCTTAAAGTAGAAAGTGCATCTGGCCAGGCTGCACCTCTCTTTTGCGGTGATGGATCGAGAGCTGGTTGAAAACTAAGTTGAGAGTATGATGTAATTCCTTCGGAACTCGGATCGAACAGAGCTGAGGTTAAAATGGAACTGAGTATAAAATGGTGTTGCCTTGTTTTATATCCCCTAGTTGTTTACAAATCTTAGTAAACCGGATTGGACAACTTCATTAAACAACCCAGATTCTGCCCTACGACAGACGAAAGTTCTGATTGGTTGAGAACAATGTGTCATGCGTTTCCATGTTAATGTAGATCAGTCTGTCTGGTGCAGTCCTGTTTATTCATTAAACACATAACTCATCTTTATTTCACAGATCATTCACCTGATTATTATTGATCAACATATGCTTTGATTAGCTTTATCACGAATAAAGTACTTTGATTAATTAATGGAAAGCGTTCTTCTTCTGTCTCTTCTCCTGGAATGTATACATACTGAAACCAGCATCCGACCTTGGCGATTCCTACACGTTGTTACTGTGTGAAGGGGCAGCTGTTAAGGGCAGACAATAGGATCTTAACGCTACAGAACAAAACATCACCTTTATTTAGACTAAAACGTTTTCAAAAGAGAAACTAAAGAAAGCCCATCGGTGTGTTTATTTCTGGCCTGCTCACAACCAATGTGAAGAAGCCTCTAGGATGAGAAGAAAAACGTCTTCAAGATGACCAGAAATGTCCAGCTGTTTTTATATCAAAGCTCAGGATGATCATGTCCAGGATGACAGAGAATCTTCACCTAATGCAGGAAATGTGAGCAGAACTGGAAGAGATCTAGGTCACAGCCCTCATTTGAAGACATGAGGTCTGCATGGTGTTCCTATCAAATGGCTGTAAAAAAGGCAAAATCCACTTTTTTTATCTGATATTATAGATTATATAAGCAGCGGGGCAGGAAGCAAACGTGCTGCAGCAGGCAGGATTTAAAAAATGCTCATACAATAAACGACGCGTCGACTGTTAAATTAGTCGTCGAATATTTTTTTTGTCGACGTCGTGACGCGTCGACTAGTCGTGGCAGCCCTAATAACCTGTTAAAAGCACTAGAATGTGGCAAATAACATCTGCTGACTAAAATGTTTCTTTGGGAGACCCCCAGACCAACTCCCCCATCACCTGATGTCTTCATCCTCAGAGCTGAGGACAATACTGGGACATGTGGCTGACATGTCTCAGTCTTTGTCTCTTCTCAGAGGAGCAGGAACTTGTTAGCAGAAGGTAAACAAAGGCTTTGCTACTCTGAGAGCAGGGACACGTAGAAAACATGCAGCCACTGTGGCCTTCAAGTACCAGTTCTGCTCCCCCTGTTAATGTTCAAAAGTACTGGTACTTTCATCTGCAGCAGGTTCACTTGCTGGGGAGGGTGGGTGTGTGTGTGTGTGTGTGTGTGTGTGTGTGTGGCTACTTTTTTCGATGTGGAGTCTGAACTTTTTCACCCTTGACCCGTTTTCATGTCTGTATTTCACGTGTCTTTAGCCCCGCCCATTAGCTTGGAGATTTCCCCGTTCCTAAGAAGTGAGTGTAAACAAAACCTACTGGTGCGTAGGGCTGTAGCGAAGCCTCGATGACGTCGATGGCTCGATTCTAAAAGCTGCCAAAACAAGTCAAAACAACAACTGAACCATTTTAAATGTAATAAACCTTTATTTTGGACTCATTCACAAACACAGTAAACTTTTCTGTTAGAGCTGTAGCGACGCAACGATGACGTCGACAGCTCGATTCTAAAAATTTGTCGACGTCAGATCATCCCCAGGAGTTAGTAAATAGAGGAGGAATCTGCCTGTTTTCCCTCTAGTTCGCCCTCTTCTCCGCCTTCACTAACATTTCCGCCAAATACTGAAGACCCGGAACAATGTCCGTCCGCTACTAGATTCCTTTCCTGTTTTGCCCGCCTTCGTCTCCCGGCAACGGACAACAACTTCCGGGGTCAAATGCGCTGCTTCGTCTCTACCGCAGATGTAGAAAATCACCGGGAGAGTTTCTCCCTTCATAAAGGAGTAGGGCTGGGGTAAACGATTATTTTTAAAACGATTATTCTGACGATTATTTTATCGAATAGTTGACTATTCTAATGACTATTTAGACAATCTAATGACTATTTTTCTATTGCAAAGTTATTAAAAACCAAAAAATCTCTAACAAATTCCTCCAAAAAAGTGATAAATTGTTACTGTAAGAGAATAAACACTGCAGGCCTTCCATTTTGTATAACACTGCTTTTATTGTGTTGGTTGGTTATGTTCTGGTGACGTGTAGAACATGGGAGTGCAGGCTGCTGCCTGAGAGGTGGTTGGAGACAGAGTGTCTCCATGCTGCTTTGTTTTGGTCACTTATGTGCGTGAGGCGAGTGGTGTTACGACTCTTCCTGGGGAGTTTGGCTCGTGTGCAAAAAGGAAGGGACAATAATACGGGATTTAAAAGTTAAAATGATGATCAGGTTTATTTACAACAACAAAAACACATAAATCTTTCCATCCACAGGTTGGGAATAATAAAACTAATTCTGCCTGTGGGGAATTAAAACAAAAGCACAAATAACTAGGGATGTCCCACTGGGCAAAGATTACTGGGTTCTGGACCAAAATAAGGATCTCCAAAGGTCCAAACTCTAAACTGGGTGGTTAAACCAAACTCAAGGTGATATTTTAAACTAAACCGAAAACCCACAACACACACAAAAACTAAAAAAGCATAAAATGGGATATTTTGCCAGACTCTTGACAAATCCAAGGCTGATTGTAAAAAAGTTTTTTCAGTCACTCAAAATATGTTTTATGAAAAATATCTCCTCGTTTGTCTGCTTTTTTCATGAAAAATGAGCATCACATAATCAAACTGGCATATAAAGGGTTAAAATTTAGATAAATATTCAATATTTGATTATTTTCGAACAGAACTGAAGTTGATCCCAAGATTTAGACCCAAAAAGCAGAAAAAAAATTAATTTGGACAATTTTTAAAGCAGTTTTAAAAGTGGACGTTTTTGTCCTCTAATGGCTTGAGTGTATATATATGTATATTAGGGTTGTCACGGTATGAAAATTTAACCTCACGGTTATTGTGACCAAAATTATCACGGTTTTCGGTATTATCGCGGTATTTTTTAAACGGTGTTGCATATGTTCAGAAAGCATTGATAGTCCTGTTCTACACAAACTGAAATAGTTTTGAAAAGGTTTAACAGTGTTTATTAAACCTAAAATAACACAAAGCCTTAGCAAAAGTGCAACTTTTCACTAGTAAAGGAACAAATAGCTTATTTTTCTGGAACATGTTACAGTAGTCAGTGCAGGTTTAAATGATACAAATCCAAACATTCAAAACATAAACAATATGTAAACAAATCAAAGAAACACCACTTGTTTTCTCATATACTTGTTTTCTTCATTATCAAAATGAAAATCTAAAACTCCAGTCCACACTTGACTTGAGCACTGTACAAGTCAACCTTAAAAAATATGTATTTAAAACAAATAGCCACTTTAAAAAAATTACTAAAATAACTACTACACTATGTAATCAAATCCAAATGTTCAAGTATAAATGGCATTGAATAAGTAAACAAATCAATGACAAGGAACTAATTGTATATTTCTCTTCATCATCAACAAATAAGATGCTTCATCCAGCAACAGGGTGTCCGTGACACGGTTTAAATGCTGGCAGAGGACGCTGCGGCTGCAGTATATAGTGACTCGTTGCATTCTCCCTCAACCAGAAGTCCTCACGTCATGCATTTAAGCTAAAATGCTAATGTTAACTTACCTTGCACTGGCTGTAGAGACGCGGATGATGGTCACGCAGATGTGCCATTAGATTCGAAGTGTTGCTGCCTTTTGCAGACACTTGTTTCCTGCACGTTCTGCAAACGGGATAGCGGTCTTCTATTAACTGTCCCTCAGCGTTTTTCAGAAATCCAAAATATGCCCATACTTCCGATTTAGTCTTCTTTGAGGGCTGTTGGATGTCCTGGGCGCTGCCGTCTCCTCCTTCGGCCATTATTTCAGATTCAAAGTTTTGGTGCCGTTGCAAATTAAAAAGTGCGTGTGCGCGCCGCGGGAACTTCAGCTGAAGCGACGGTGGCTGGTAAGGGTCATCGCGCCGAAACCGCGGCCACGGTAAACCCACCGAGATAATTTAGTTTTTTAAAAACTGGACGGTTATTTTTATTGTCAACTTTTTTACCGGGGTTTACCGCTATACCGGTTACCGTGACAACCCTAATGTATATACACTATACTATATATATGTATATCAATGCCTTTGAGTATTCAAACTGGCATTTCAGGGGTTAAAAGCCTCAAAATGGTTGAATTTTTTTATGTTTGAGCAGGGCTGAAGTTGTTCAACAAATCTATGAAAAAAGTAAAAACAAAAAAAACATTAATGTATACATTTTTTATAGCCACTTTTACAAGCGGACGTCTTTGTCCTCTATTGACTCTTGTATGAAAATTAAAGTGAAGCCTGAGGGTTAAGGCGCATATGATTTATAGAGGCTCAAAGTTCAGTTTCCAGTTGTAAATACATTTCATTCTACTGTCAGTTTAAAGAAATAATACAACTGTTATATGTGTGAAAACACAGTTACAGCTGTCTGTAATTCACATAATATGTTTCTGTGTTTCCTACAGATTTTCAACAGGTGGTTCTGGTTAAAGAAGAAGCTTCAGAAGAACAGAGTGCTCGTGTCAACCACCAGCACCTAGATTTTCTCCACAAAAAGGAGGAACAGGAGAAACTCTGGTCTAGTATGGAGGGAGAGCATCTCCATTTGAATAAGGAGACAGATGCTGCCAGGTTTCAGTCCTTTAGCCAAAAAACACATTTAAACAAACACACGAGAGTCCAGACAAAGCAGAAACATTTTGCCTGTGAGCACTGTGGACAAAGGTTTCACCAAAAGACTAATTTAACCACACACATGAGAGTCCACACAGGAGAGAAGCCTTTTGCTTGTGAGCTCTGTGGAAAGAAATTTAGCTTAAAGTCAACTTTAAACCGTCACATGAGTGTCCACACAGGACAGAAGCCTTTTGCTTGTGAGCTCTGTGGAACGAGATTTAGCCGAAAAGGGTCTTTAGATGAACACATGAGAACCCACACAGGACAGAAGCCCTTTCCTTGTGAGCTCTGTGGGAAAAGATTTAGTCAAAAGACAAATTTAAACAGACATATGAGAGTCCACACAGGACTGAAGCCCTTTCCTTGTGAGCTCTGTGGAAAAAGATTTAACCAAAATACGAATTTAAACAGTCACATGAGAGTCCACACAGGACAGATGCCCTTTCCTTGTGAGCTCTGTGGAACAAGATTTAGCGAAAAGACGAATTTAAACAGTCACATGAGAGTCCACACAGGTGAGAAGCCTTTTGCGTGTGAGCTATGTGGACAAAGATTTAGCCAAAAAGGGTCTTTAGATGAACACATGAGAATCCACACAGGACAGAAGCCCTTTCCTTGTGAGCTATGTGGAACGGGATTTAGCCGAAAAGGGTCTTTAGATGAACACATGAAAGTCCACACAGGAGAGAAGCCTTTTGCCTGTGGGCTCTGTGTAAAAAGATTTAGCCGAAAGACAAATTTAAACACACACATGAGAGTCCACACTGGACAGAAGCCTTTTGCTTGTGAGCTCTGTGGACAACGATTTAGCCAAAAGACACATTTAAACAGTCACATGAGAGTCCACAATAGAGAGAAGCCTTTCGCTTGTGAGCTCTGTGGTAATAGATTTAGTGAAAAGGGAAGTTTAAACAGACACATGAGAGTCCACACAGGACAGAAGCCTTTTGCTTGTGAGCTCTGTGTAAAAAGATTTAGCCGAAAGACAAATTTAAACAGTCACATGAGAGTCCACACTGGCTTTTCGCCTGTGAGTTCGGTGGAAAAGTTTTACCCAAAAGATCAGTTTAAACGGTCACAAGAGTCTATAAAGGACAGAAGCCTTTTGCTTGTGAGCTCTGTGGACGAAGATTTTGCTGAAAGAAAACTTTGAACAATCATCTAAGCATCCACTAGGGCTGAACGATCTATTGCAGGGGTCTCCAACCTTTTTTGGCCCGTGAGCTACTTTTACACAATGAAGTACAGCAGTTACTGCCATATGATTTATTTACATTGATACTTTCCATGTGTGAATGTGCTTACCGTAAATCCTCTAATACAGGCCGGTATTCAATTAAAGGCCGGGTCTCCAATTCTGGCCGGTGTCGGAGTCAGCGGAGGCAAATAATGGCCGGTCTCTTATTGTGGCCGGATGGAATGTGGTAACAAGAAAGTACGAGCGTCCCAGCGGCAGGGTTGTAGTCCCCAAATCAACCAGCAGGAGGCAGTAGAAGTTCACGCAGACCTTTTTTAGGCTTTTTCTTCAATGCTTTGTAACGCTACAGACACGATCCTCTATCACGCTCCTACCACACAGAGTCATGGTGTCAGTTAACCATGCTAATTCAATCTGCTCCACAGAACACACATCACCTTCCCTGTGGCTTACATAACACTCACACAACACGCAAATCAGCACATAGGAACTAGCAGAACAATAGGAAACACATATAACACAATACCCAGAATGCACCTGGCTTACAACCCCAGCCAGGTCATTACACTATCAAGTTCAAAGAGAACGTGCTGATTATGCTGCAGAACACTCTGGAGAGCAGCAGTAGGGGTTGTATGAACTACAGTAATCCCTCGTTTATCGCGGTAGATGCGTTCCAGACCTGGCTGCGATAGGTGAAAATCCGCGAAGTAGGGACTCCCAGCATGCCCCTCGCGGGGATTCCCTTCACGTCGCACCTACGTCACAAACCGCGGCTATAAACGGAAGTCGCCTTTCCAGCTCACCACTCAGTCATCGTTTCTTCAGATTCATGATCAGAGTTTCCAACCTACCGATCAATCCAACGAACTATCAGCTCATAGTAAGTTATCTTACTTACTTCTGGAAAGCCCGGCATTTCCGTGTAACTTCGTTGACGCTCGAATGCTCGGGGGTTTCCTAGAGCAGCCGGCGTTTCACCGACGCTATCACTTCCGCGTCTGTGAAACCACGCTCCCTATTGAATTATCGTATGATCACATTCTCTTTTTGGGGGTAAAACTCAAGTGCCAGACCGTAGGTACTGACACGCGATCGTTCATGTCGGTTCATTTCCTTTAATGTTTTCTGTCTTTTATTTGCGCCTGATGTGTATCGCTGCTGTGGAGCGGGGCGCATCAACTTGTCCTCCGACGCACAGATCACAGCAGGGAGCGCTCAGCTGTTTTCGCTGTCTGTAGATCTGCCTCCTGAGCACGGCCACAGTAACAATCAGGTGTCGCCACCTCAAAAACTAATTTAACACGCGATCGTTCATGTCAGTTCATTTCCTTTAATGTTTTCTGTCTTTTATTTGCGCCTGATGTGTTTCGCTGCTGTGGAGCGGGGCGCTGTGCGCATCACCTTGTCCTCCGACGCACAGATCACTGATACAGCCGCCAAACAGCAAGCGCTCCGCTGTTTTAGCGGTCGGTAGATCTTTTAGAACTGCAGTTCAAAGGTAACTCATGAGGTGAATATATATGAACCCAGGTAGAAGTTTTTCTTTAGGATTGAGAGGAGATGCAGGAAGATAATAAACAGACAGGACAGAAAAATAGTCAAATAAAAACAAGTTAGTTTTTGTACCTGGTTGCAACAAACAGACACCATTGAAGGTCATCAGAAGTGAGGAACAGAAAATGAAATAATTATTTTAATGTTTAGAGCAGCAGGAACTCCTAGAGGCTGCAGGCGCATCAGTGAGTTTGCGGCTGCTGCGCAGGGGGAGAGGGCTGAAGCAGGAACTACCGTTGTTAAAAGAAATGTTTAACTTTGAAAATGTGGGCGCACTTTTAATTGTCAAAAACTCCAGCGAACCATTAGTTCATTTTGCTCAAATAGAAATAGAGGCCTGCCTCTAATACTGGCCCTCCTTCCAATAAAGGCCTGGAGCTTGATGAGCTTGAGTCAAATACAGGCCCGGGCCTGTATTAGAGGATTTACGGTATGTTAAACATGCAATACTTACTATATTAACAAGCATTGTACTCACAAGTTGATTTCTCTGTATTTCAGTACATCAGTATATATATTTTTTTAAAATTATAAAAACTAATGACATTATGAAAACCAAATTAAACAAAACATATTAATTTTTTTAAACTAATCGGATACTTTCAGACAATGAATAACAAATCTAGTTCATGTGAATGATTTGATAATTTTTTTAGAAGGTTAGTAACATAATTTTTTAAGTGCACAGGAACAGCTAACCTGTAAAACTGATGATATTTCATATAAAATACAAGATAAATGTGATGAAAACACAAAAGTCTAAGTGGTTTGAATTGAAGTAAAAAAAGTAAAATCAGAATTAAGACTTGTTCCTGCTCTCCTGGTTTACTGAATCATTTTTATGGGTTTTTTTGGTGATGAAAGTTAAGTTTTGCTGCGTTTATTGCTGACAATAAGAAGGTTGGAGGTTTATCCTTTTTTTCTGCATCTTGTAGGTTTTTTTCTCCGCAGGTCTGAAGGCTGTGCGTTACACAGAGCAGAGAGACAGAGAGCAAGAGACCAGAACCAAAAGAAATGATCACATCACACCAATCTTAAAATATTTACATTGGCTTTCAGTAACTTACAGGATTGATTTCAAAGACCTTTTACTTACTTTTAAATCATTAAATGGCCAACGACCTCTGTATATAGCAGAGATGTTTGAAACGTTTCACCCTTCAAAATCACTTAGGTCAGCAGATAAATCCCAACTGGTACAACCCAGAGCCCGCACCAAGCACGGAGAGGCTGCCTTTAGCTGCTATGCGGTCCGTCTCTGAAACTGTCTTACAATAGACATTAAGACCTCTCCCACCATTTCCATTTTTAAATCCAGATTAAAAATTAAACTTTTTCATGATGCCTTCCATTAATCTATCCTTGCATCTGTGCTCTACTAGGTCTTTATCTGTACTGTGTTGAATTTATTCTATATGTATTTTATATGTATACCTATTCTGTGCTGTTTTATCGTGTATTATTGTGTAATTAAAGCGATTACTTGTAATAAAGTGTAGTTGTTGGGTAAAGCAGTATATACTAGGAATGATTAATAAAAATAAAAACTAGAATTGAACCTGAGTTACATGGTAATAACGGAATAAGAACTCGGAAACAATAATACACTAACTTACTAAGTAATTACCATGTAAGTACTAAGTAATTAGAGGACTGTAAAAGAAAGCGCTACCAATAATTGTACTTAATATGCTTTTATTTTTGTGTGCTATGTTCTGTGTCAATGTTCTTTGATTTTATTTTACACAACATGATGTGACATTTTAACTATTTCATTTCACTTGTGATTGTTTTAACTATGTGAAGCACATTGGGCTACCGTTTTGTGTATGAAATGGGCTATATAATAAACTTGACTTGAGAGAGAGTTCACAATCATGTTTTGTTACTAAATGAGACACTCAGCTGAAACTGGGGGAAATATATGATGAATCTAAATCACAGGAGATGTCCAGAGTTTTTAAAGCTCGTGTTCATCATGTTGTGGGGACCACAATGAGGCTACACTCACACCCAGTTCTTGGTACCACAGACGTATATATTGACTTGGGACTGTTTGTATGTAAATATTGTTGACTGCTTGGCCGCTTGATCAGAACCAGAAACGTATGTGTAACAGACCATCTGGGTGTTCAAGGGGCCGTATGTGGAGGGCCACACAGAGGCTACGCTCACACCCAGTTCTTTGGACTGTTTGTATGTAGATGTAGCAGGACTGGTTGGTGTCTCAACCAGTTGATCGGCCAGCCTATCACACATATTAATCAAACCAGCCCACCATTAAAACATATTACAGATGATAACAACTCTACTGCTTGTACTATAAGATTAATGCACACAATTTAATTTAAGATATTTAACTGCATGTGTGCGCGTGTGTGTTTGCACTGAATGTGTTCTTGCACGTGGTTCACACGTGCGAACATCAACAAAGGAGAAATTCACCGAAAGAAAGCGAACTGACTACATATTCATTTGGTACAAGCATGCTCGCTCTTGGCGGCTTTCGCTCTGTGATTTAATCCCAAAAGGGACAATTTCCTTCCGTCATATCAAGAGAAGAAACAAAACACTTTCTAACACCTTAAGACTTTTATTTACCTGTTCAGTTTTGGCGAGGTGTGCTAGCGGCAGCAGGAGTATCCGGTGTTGGGGTTATTGGGTAGCGAACAATTTGTAACCTTTTACTTACGTTTTGGATTCTTCAATAAATTCTGTAAATATGGGAATATTTACCGATGTATTAATTAAGATACTCTTTAGGTATCCCGGGGCACCACCCCGTTCTACCGTATCAGTCTTTCTTGAAGTTCGTAGAATCCTAGGGGCAGAGACTTCGCATCGACACAACAAATCTACTGGAGGCAAAAATCTGAATTTTATAACATTTAATTAAACAATTTGTCAAATGAATAAACAATGAAATAAATGAATAATAACCATGTGAAACAATTTGACCCAATATGTGTCTTTAGCTTGAGCCCCCCCCAAACACTAAAAACACGTGTGTGTGTGTGTGTGTGTGTGTGTGTGTGTGTGTGTGTGTGTGTGTGTGTGATGAATGGGTCTTTGTTTCCCAGAGTAGGTGCGCGCGTGTGTGTGTGAGAGTGTGACCTTCCCCTCACTCGCATTCCACAGGAGACCTGGATGTGTAAAGTTTTTCAACTTTCCCGAACACTTAGTGGCTTAAAATCACAGTAAAACTTAAACTTAAACACTTCAAAAGTTAACAAACAACAAAAGGTCACTCCTAGGCAATATCTAATGATCTGTTGAAAGTTGTGGCCACAGCTTTCAACACATAGACATTAATAAAAGAAACGACCTTACTTCACGGTAATCCGGGTGGCGTTTTGGTCCGGAGATAGAGAAAAACACGAAGCTACTTTTAAACGATCCGCGGCGATCGCTTACTTTGGTCTAGAAGAACAGGAAAGATAAAAGTTTAAATGAAATAAAACTTGCAGGAGCAAAACCTCTGAGCGAAGGCAAGGCGTCCCTTGTGTTCGCTGGTCAGATGTGATTTACGCTTCTCCGTTGTTTCTCCGCACGAGTGTTTCTCCAACGGGCTGGACACAAAGAGAACGAAGTTTCTTTTGTGCAGTTTGTAACTTACAGCGTGAGCTGGATGGAGCTGGAGTTGAGCAGAAGAGAGCAGATTTTGGGTTTCCAAACCCAGCTTTTCCAGCAGTTCGGTGTCTGGTCTGCTCACGTTGATTCGAGCGTGCGATGAGCGTCCTTACAGCCAGTGATACTGGACAAAGAACAGTTAAGTTTCGTTTTCGTCTCCCTTTTATAGAGTCTGGCAGTTCGCGGGCTGAGACTGTTGTGAACCCGTGCTCCGCCTTGGTGGTGATGTCATCACATTGCTTCCGTGTGCAAAGCATCATGGGAAATGAAGTGTCTTGGCGCTGATGTGATTATTTGCTTTCAGAGCAATTAAGCACAGTCTTTTTGGAGAAAATTACTGCAGCAATTTCTCACGAGGGCATACCCTCAACACCGGGATGTAGTCCCGTCTGTTTCTTATTAAACAAACATGATTCGGAACAGAAAAGATGCAGAAATCAGGCAAGGGGCGTAGCTCACTAAGCGCCGACGTCACGTTAGTTCCGTAGGAACCACAGAAAGTCCCAGCCTCAGGCTGTGTCTCAATTCAGGGTCTGCATCCTACTTTCTTTTCTTTTTTTTTTTAACAAACTTCATTTGTTTTCGTCACAAATACATAGTCACACTAACAAACATACATCAAATATACACACGAACAGACATCAGCTCATTAATCGACAAGAGGCACATAACAGATAATAGAACCTTCCAAAAGGTACATTTTTTTGATCTTCTTTTTTAACTATATTCTTGAATCTGTCTGAAATAATATGAAGTGTGTGTTCCTAAGGTCGTATTAAATCAAATATTCAAAGACCAATAAGATTGATCATTTATAATTAGATGGAATATCACATCTTATTGATCATTCAGTAAAAGTAACCACTTCCATCACGTTACACCATCAGCATGGCTCTACACTTCATCCTGCAGCATCTGGACTCCCTGGGTACCTACACCAGGATCCTGCCAGAAGCAGAAACAGCTGGAGTTAGCAGGTCAGATCCACGGTGTGTAAAGTCCACTCATGGAGGGAACAGGAAGGGAAACCACTGAAGAACCAGGATAAACAGACCCGAGGAAACATGGACGGAGACACGGCGCTGCCCCGTGGCCAGGCGGGAATGTGGAAACGGACCTGTGGCTATTCCAAACACAGGCGCCATCTTGTTAGCGGCCAGAAGCAGAGTATGGGTGGGATGAGGCTGGCCCATACTCTGGAACAGCAGCTGCTATGTGTGGACTCTCATGTGATTTGTTTGTTTACATTTGTAGTAAACCTTTCTCCAGTCATCATGACTAAATGATTTAGGTTTCTTCTGGACGTTCCTGCACGAGTCTACATGTTGCTTCACTCTAACACATTTCTTATGAACCAAACAGCCTGAAGACCTGACTGCTGGATGACTCGTCTCCCTCACGTGTCTCTGGAGAGACCACTTGTGAAGAACTTGTTGACAGACTTACCATCTGACTCAGAAGACCTGCTCTCATTCCAGTCATCATCTTCATCTCCAGTTTCAGACCCAGAGTCTGACAGCTCAGAGTCCAGATTCACATCATCATCATCCTCTTCATCATCTTCATCTCCACTAACTTCAGTCTCTGAAGAATCAGATGTTTGTTCATGAGGGTTCAGATCTGGGTTCCTGCTAGTTCCTGCTCCTCCACCAGTTTCTGCGGTCATCTGGTCAGCTGAGCTGCTGGTTGGAACATCTCTGTCTTCTATTTGCTGCTGATGAAGCTGTGAGACCAGAGGTTTCTCTTCATCATCCTCACTCTTTATAGAAACAGCAGTAACAGGAGACCCGACAGCTTCAGTCTCCTCCTTCAAACAGAGATGCTCTCCCTCCAGACTGGTCCAGAGCTCCTCCTGTTCCTCCTTTATGTGGAGGTGTTCTGGGTCCTGCTGGTCCACACCAGCACTCTGTTCTTCAGGATCTTCTTCTTTAACCAGCACCAGCTGTTGAACATCTGTAGGAAACACAGACACATGATGTTACACACCACCATACCTTTATATTTACACCACGAGTGATACCGGCTACATGATGTGGGGAAAAGGAACAAGAACATGAACTTCATTTAGATAAAAACAGATTTCTACTTTAGGATCAATAAAAACTTCCATCACAATCAGCGTGTTTGGTTCTGACCAGAACTTCTAAGCCTCCTACTGTCAAGTGTTTTCTTCCACTGTGAGGTGCCGACACTTGGAAAGAGCATACTTTGGATTTCACTCAGAACAATTTATTTGACCAGTACTGAGATCAGTCCGGGTTCAGGAACCAGTCAGGTGGAAAAGCTTTAAATAACAAAAATAAACATGTAACTAAATCATGCAGATAAACTTCAATGCTGTTACAGGTAATACAGAGCAAGGAGAACACACCAGCATCTTTAGTAACCTTCAGTTGGGCGTCTAGTTTTAGACAAGTACTATTCTATCTGCTTTTACAAGTACTGGCTGCTAATTCAGAGATGAATCATTTCACAATGAAGCAAGGATGAAAAAAGACTGATTTTACCAGACAAATAATTAAATACATGAATACATCTGTTTTCTGCCTTAACTTGCTTTCATTTAATTTACTATTATTCCTGCAGTCATTTCTGGCACTCCAGACGTTAACACACTTCCTCTCAGTAAATTCCATTCACACCCAGACGGATAAAGAGTCCATATAAAGACGTGAATCCAAGAGCTTACCGACAGCCCGTCAAGATCAAAGTCTTCCTCCTCACAGTGTACCCATTTGTGTTCACTCTGCACTCCTCTCAGTCTGCCGCGCGCTGGGCAAAAGCTTGTTGCAGACATTTTGGCTGTACTTCATTTCCCCCGAGCACGAGCTCTTAATTGCCTCAATTCTGCTCACCTGGCGAGGCGCGCGCCGGAGCGCACGCAGGTTCCATCTGCGGTCACGCGCTGGCAACGCGCAACGGAGTCAGCATGTAGGGAAAGGATGAGGAACAATAGAGAGGGGCAGCCACACCTCTAAGGTCAGCGCAACACCTACTCACAACTCATTCTTTAGATCTGAAGCTGATGTGAGGAGAAACGTCTCCAAGATCAAATCAGCAACTATTCAGTCAAAAGGAAAATGAATAAACACTTAGATGTAGCTGCTGTCAGTAACAACCTTTCACTTTGAAGCTCTCAGCAGGCTAAAGCACTACAAAGCAAAGGAACCTTACACATTAGCATTTTGGGAGATTTATTGTTGTTATTATATTATTATAATGATTATTATTGTAGTTGTTATTATTATATGTCCTGTAGTGGGTTACTTGGTGATTGAGCAGTGGGCGGAGCCTGTTGTTTTCTACTCATTGTCTTATGTTCTAGCTTTAGTGTTCAGCGTTTTATTGGAACTCCTTGTGTGACCTCAGTCTGGGACACGTGCTGTATGAATAAACTTGGTTCTTCTTCCACCACAGAGAAAGGCTGCTCTTCCAGCATCATGAACTTCCTTATGGTCCGGTTATTAGCCGAGCCTTCTGACGCTCATACAGACGGGTGTTGGTGAGCGTAGCTGCGTCTGACTGGGAGGTGTTTATCTCTGCAGCGATCCCAGGAAACTCACCTCACTCCACCCAGATGTTGTTCTTCACATCTTATTAAACCAGCTGTGATCAGCTTCCCCAGGAGCTGGAGCTTTTCATTGCAGGACTCAAAGCTTACATCACTCTCGCAGACAGAGTTAAAGTTAGGCGGACATGTTGTTTTACATTGTTGCTGCTGTCCTGCACAGCATGAAGGAAAAGGGGAAGAAGCCCAAGTGCACCACACAGGGTTCACACAGGTGTTGCTGGTATGATCAGAACATCCCAAACTAACACCAACGTAGATAAACAATAAACAACTTGTATTAACACAAAAAGGAGGAATGGGTGTCTTTTATAGGACAGCCAGGCACTAATTGGTGTGTTTCCATTACCGAAACTTCCCAGTATGACCGTCTCCACTTCACGGGAGCCAGCCGAACCGGTCCTTTTCCAGACCTTTTGAGAGTCTTTGCAGGTTCTGTGGCCTCACCCAGATGACCCGCGGGCAAACCCAGTTCTAACCAGAACTGGGGGACGGAGGGTTTCAAAGCATCTGTCAGCATTCATTCTGGACAGTTTTACTTATTTTATGCTTCTTTGTGAGAAATGTCCTCATGTCCCCGTGTCTGTGGAGGGATCAGACAAGGACACTGCTTATTATGGGATAGCAATGGCACTGACTCCTCCTCCAGCTTCCACAAGCCTGTAGTTTCACTTTGGTTCGTTCGGTCTTTTATTTTCTAACTTTGTTGACAACCATGTCAGTCACGCCCACCATGCGTGCAGCAGAGCAACCAGGAAAACGTGGAACGGACTTCAGCCGACTGAGTCATTTCTAATGAATCAAGTGGAATGGATTTCTTTGAGAACAATGGAAAGAGCAAAAGGTGTGTGTGTGGGGGGGGGTCCCCTCTGACATAAAGGTTGCGACATCTATGAACCACCTCCACTCAGTCAGCCAATTCAGTAGTTTGCTCGTAGTTTAACTCTTGATCCAAACGTTGGACCGTTTCTGCCTCTAACGATGGTTTCCGTCGTTGCTGGTTTCTCTTTTTTCCACCACAGCACCGAGATCACCACGTAGAGCTCCAGTAAAATGTGTTCAGACTGTGGAGCGCACGTTTAACGAAGCTCCGAATCAGTAAAAAATGAATCGAGGAACTTAATGAGTCGAACCATTTGATGATTCGTTTCAGCCCTACTTCCTTTCAACGCTTTAACAACTCTTTAACTGTCACTGGCATGTTTTTACTGTGTGGGCGTCGGAACGAGCCCCCGCACCGTGAGAACAAACATCCCAGCTCTAAAGCCGATCTTCATCCGCGTACGTCACACGTCACGTGACCAGGAAGCAGAAAGTCCACGTGTTAGATCAGGGGAGTCAAACTCAAACTCACACTGGGCCGAAATGAAAATCTGGGACGGAGTCGAGGGCCAAACTTACTATTTTTTGGAAAAGTGACGGCAAATTTGCACATTTTCTTTATCAACATTTATGCGATTTAGAACCTTTTAATTTGGAAACAAACTTATTTCTGCATTAACACTGAATGTGGAATAACCAGATTACACACGAGCAAGTCAGTTTTAAATAAAAGGCATCAGTGGTATTCATTACTTGTGGTATAATCAGCATTTTTAAAATCTGTTCAGGATTTATGTTTTCTTGTTTATTCATTTTTCTTATTTTTTATTCTCCTTTTTTCTCCTGTAATACGTGTCATCGCTGCTGTGACGTCTAGCTTTCCCCACTGAGGAACAATAAAGGGATTTTCTATTCTATTCTATTCATCTATCTGCAGCCTTTCCACTTCCTGTTTACTGTAGGTTAAATCTTTTCTCACGGGCCAACAACAAAATAAAAATATCATTTTATCTTAAATGAAAATGCAACATCTCACCTGTTAACTTTCATGTTTTGGAGCAGAAAAAGAGCATAAAACCAACATATTTAAAGCTCAGTTTGCTCCACTGGTTTACTGTGATGCTCACCTGTTCCAGCCAGATACCTGCATCATGGGGTTGATCTGAGCTGAGGAGGAGACTCCTGTTGTTTTGTTCATCTTCATCATAATAATGACAACATTAGATGACAACAGGTGCTCACATAGGTTTGTGCTGCTGAACATGTCTGAGCAGCTTGACCACGTCGTTGTGTGTCGGGGAGGAAAAATAACAACTACAGCAGCCACAGAGTCATGCTGGTTTGAGCGTGTCGCTGCTCGCTGGAGTTATATCAGCTCTGTCTGGAAGTTAGCTGGAAAACTTTCTCTTTCGGTCGTGAACACATTACTGAGCGGCTAGAATCTCCGTTTCTGGGCTTCAACGTCAGAAAATAGCTGAGTGAACTCAGCGCTGAGTGAGAGGAGTGTTTAGTTTGTCCGAGACCGCGGAGCTGCAGACACCGGCAGCAGACGCTGGAAAAAACACAAAGGAGGGGGCGCTTCGGCTCCGCGCTAACACCGCAAAGCATCATGGGAGTTGTAGTCTTTGCGGTAAAATCGGCCAGCGGGTCAGTTTTAATATATTTTTGATAATTATCTCGCGGGCCACATAAAAATGCTCCACGGGCCGCATGGTGTCTGACACGTGTGTGTTAGGAGATCGTTTTGGGACGCTGCTGTAAAAAAAAAGTGAGGCGAGAACCGGAAAAGCTTCTGCCGATCCCAATTCAACAACGGCTTATGAAAGAACAGATAACACTCAAAATGCGCAGATTCTTCCTGTAAGAGTTGAGTCTACTCTTTGTTTTGGTAGTTTTGGCGTTGACATCATCATAGAGCAACGTTCTGTGACTCTTAAAAAAACAGTAAAAATGCTGAAAAACGCTGGCAGCGAAGAGCTTTTCTGATCAGGAAACGGCTGGCAGTGAGTGAGTTAAACAAAAAGAAAAATCTAATTTGTGCTGCACATCCATAAAAACATCCATGTTTAGACTTCTTCTGTGTTCGCAAATCAGTCAGTGAATCATACCGTAATCAGTCACATGCACACACCACGGCCCATCGTCATTTACTGGACTAATGATGGGCGAATGGAAAAACAGCCCAACCCTGGTGTGGGGGCTACCGGAGCTGCAATACTTACTCTGAACTGCGTGGCGCTGAAGAGTCGAATGTTTTTACACACTGGGCCTTTAAGCTCTAAACCACAGCGACGTGCTGAAGCAACAGCAGTCATTCGTGCTGTCAGCGCCGCTGCCGTCGTGTCTGCAGCAGGCTGTCTCCCCAACTGTGATTGGTCAAATGATGATGCGTGACTGACGCTACAACAAAGGTAGGTTGTGAACACGATGAAAACCTCTCCTGTCTCTGACTGATTCTCGTAGTGACTGAAACCCGACAGAAGACCAAATAGTTCCCACAGCTTCATCTCACCGCTCCCCATGAGGACGGGTCGAATGCAGGACGTAACTTCACCAGTGTGTGACGATGACTTTGGGACTTTAACTATACTTGGCTTCAAAAATCATTCATTAGAGAGATCTAATCACTCTAAAACTACAAGGTTCTACAACAGTGTGTGAATGAGTGAATGACTGGTTGTGATGTAAAACGCTTTGGGGGTTTTAGAACCCCAGTAGTGCTAAACATATACAGATCATTATTTTAAAGATTGAACCTCATTCTCATCATTTCACTGTAATGTCCCACCATAGACTGACCATATATTCATTCATTCATCCACCAGTACCTGTGTCCATGCTGTCCAGGTCCAGGTGGTGAAGAACACACGATGAATCAGTCCCAGCTGATGGATGATCCTGAAGTGGTAGCAGGTTTTCTTTAGCCGTGTTTAGCTAACAGCTGCAATAGAAACAAAGCAGGAGAGCTGATTAAGATGCTGCTTCAGAACAACGCAGGAGATTAAAGATCCAACGCTTTGGTTCTGATCAGCTGAGGACAGATCCAGTCTGGAAAAGAGGACCTTTGCTCACCAGAGTTCACGGAGTAGAGCTAACCGCTTTTTCCTCCAGAGTCACATTCAGATTCGGGGCTTTTCCGTCGGAGAGTGTGAGCAGGATGGATGAGAGAGCGAGCAGCGATCCTGCATCATGACCAACTCAGATGAGCGAGTCTGATAGAGGGAACCTCTTCAATCTGATGAAAGCAGCAAAACGAGCGCGTTTCTCAGAGAGCCCAAAGGAACAGCAGCAGATCCAGAGGGCAGGAAGTCTAGAGAAAAGCTTTTCTCACCCACAACCTGATCCTGGAGCTCCGATTGTCACGAAGACCGCAGAATATCTTCTCTGGTTCTGGAAAGAACTCCACCAAGTTGTTGAGGAGAAGAAAGTTTCCACAGCCTGGTGAGAAGATTTCTGCAGCAGCAGCAGTTAGTCGCTTTAGCTGATCAACTCTCCCAGAGACTGAAGTGAAGACATTTTTACTGCAGAGCCTCAAATGTTCTCCTCACACACCAGAACAACAAGCTAGCTCTGCTAGCAGCTTCCGGTTCCTGCTTCTTCAGGTGGTCGGTGACCAGCGTAAAGGTGCACTAGCGCCACCTGCTGGAGCAGAATAAAACACACCTGTGTGTTCAGAATGGGACTAATAAAACACACATAACATGTGATATCTTCCTCAAACAATTACTTAAAGTAAAGACAAGTTAGTTTTACACCTGTT